CTGCTGAACAGTTCAGGGTATCTTATATTGTATTTTTAATTTCATAATATGCCAAATGTTATCAGTGGTGACAGGTTTGGACTGCAGGCAGGTCAGTTTAGCACCCGGGCTCTTTTACTATGGAGCCATGCTGTTGTAATACATGCAGAATGTGGTTTGACATTGTCTTGCTGAAATAATCAAGGCCTTCCCTGAAAAAGACGTCATCTGGATGGCAGCATATGTTGCCAAAACATGTATATATCGTTCAGCATTAATGGTGCCTTCACAGATGTGCACGTCACCCATGCCATGTGCACTAATGCACCCCTAGACCATCATGAATACTGGCTTTTGAACTGTGTGCTGATAACAAGCTGAGTGGTCTTCAGCCTGGGGGACACAATGTCCATGATTTCCAAAAAGAATTTCACATTTTGATTCGTCGGACCACAGGACACTTTTCCACTTCCCCTCAGTCCATTTTAAATGAGCTCAGGCCCAGAGAAGGTGGCAGCATTTCTGGATCCTGTTTATATACGGTTTCTTCATGGCATTTGAGTTTTAACTTGCATTTGTGGATGCAGTGATAAACCGTTTTCCCTGACAGTGGTTTTCAGAAGTGTTTCTGAGTCCATGCAGTGATTTCCACTACAGAATCATGTCTGTTTTTAATGCAGTGCTGCCTGAGGGCCCAAAGATCGTGGCCAGAAAATACAGTTTTACACATACATACAGAGATTTCTCCAGATTTTTTGAAACTTTTAATGTTATTATGTACCGTAGATGATGAAAAGCAGAAGTTCTTTGCTATTTTATGTTTAGAAACGTTATTCTTGAATAGTTGCACTATTTGATGGTGCAGTCTTTGACAGACTGGTGAACCCCTCCTCATCTTTACTTCTGAAAGACTCCGTCTCTCTGAGATGCTCTTTTATACCCAATCATGTTACTGACCTGTTGCCAACCAGGTTTTTTTAGCATTACACAACTTTACCAACCTTTTATTGCCCCATCCCAACTTTTTTGGAATGTGTTGTTGGCATCAAATTCAAAATGGGCATATATTTTTCAAAAAAACAATCAAATTTCTCAGCTTCAACATTTGATTTGTTGTCTTTGTACTATTTTCAATGAAATATAGGGTTTAAATGTTTTGCACATCATTGCATTTTGCTTTTATTTACATTTTGCACAGTTTCCTAACTTTTTTGGAAATAGAGCTGTATTTCAAATATATAGCATTTCTTAGCATATATTGACATCCAAACATCCATAAAAATCAATGAATTTCTATTCTTGAGGCAAAGAAAGACGTAAGGGTCTAATCACAGTCCCACTGCCTTAATACTGTTTATCTCACACACTGAATGGAAGTAACAAGTGAGAAAGTCAACTGGACAGCATTTCTCACTAAACAGATCTTGCAAAATTTGCTTTATGAGACGCTACGTTCTTTAGCTTTGCATACCAAACCTGAAGTACAAAGCCTGGGTGTAATCTTAGATTCTGAGCTCAGTTTTATCCCACATGTAAACACAGTCGTTAAAGTAGCTCTTTATCATTTGACAATTATTGTTAAAGTTCAGCTTTTCTGTCTCAGAGCGACGCTAAGAGACTGTTCATGGATTCGTCACAAGCCGAGTTGATTAATGTGAAGCTCTTCTTACTGGCTTTCTAAAAACAACAATACTGCTGATGCTGATCTTCTGCAAATACCTTCTGTAAAATCCAGGAAATGTGGAGAGTCCTCTTTCTATTAATATGCCTCTAAACTGTGGAAGTTATGTCCACTTTTTATTAGACAGTCAAGGTCAGTGCACATTTATAAGAAATGTTTGAAAAAGTATCTCTTAGTATTTAATTAAAACAACTACACCTACATCTTTGGTATTTATCTTTTTAATTTGATCTGTCATTGTCTCTGTGACTGACATAAATATTCATAGTTTCTTCAGTTTCTTCAGTTACTGTTAAGTAAAGTATGAAAAATTGTCAGTGCAGCTTACTTTACTTTTTAAAATCACTACAATCAGGCAGAAATTCAAAGTTTAGAGGTTCTTACCTCCAGAGCTGACCCCTACCAGAAAAGGCAGAATTATCATTCCGAGCTTCATCTTTCCCATATGCTGAAGACTGTCTCTCAGTGTGTGGCACCACGGTTTATATACCCAAAGTGAGACCTAGAAGAACTTCCTCATAATGTCCTCACATCTGAAAAACATGCTAAAAACGAGCCAGAGCTTTATCATAGGTGTAGGCAAGAAACAGCCAGTGGTGGACGAAGTACACAAATCATGCACTTGAGTTAAAGTAGAGATACCCAAGGTAAAATATTACTCCAGTAAAAGTAGAAGTTCCTCCCTTTAGACCTCCACTTGAGTAAAAATACAAAAGTATTCGCCTTCAAATGTACTTAAGTATCAAAAGTAAAAGTACTAAAAGATTAATTATGGCTCTGATGTCCTGTTATCATTTTTATAACAAGACTCTTCTTCATTAAGTCGTAGGTGAAAATACTCCAGTGTCACTCTTGGTAAACCAGTCTTTTAATAGAAGGTCATTAATTAGTGATGCCGATGTCTATTAAAATCATCATAAGAACAAAACACTGAAGGCAAACAATTTCCATTGGATAGAACCAAGTGGCTCCGAAATAACTTTTTGTGAACAAGCAAAGTTTCAATTTAAGATTTATTCGCAACTTAGTTATAAGTTTAAGTTTGATAAAAACTTGCTTTAAACTGAGGTTCACAAATAAGTTTCCTTTACTAAACTGCATCTGTAGGTCTCTGTTCATAAACATAAACTGGCAAAAACTAATTTACTATAAAATGAAATGTGTTTGTATAAATTCAGATACGAGATATGTCAGTCACAACTGCATATGAGTACATATTTCTATATTGTGGTCTATTTACACAAAGTTAGGTCAGTTCCATCATCGTTTTTAAATTTTACACTGCTGCACTGACGTTGAACTGTATACTTGCACTGGGTCAGTATGTCCAACAGGTCAAAACAAGCTCAAAACAAAGTGTGCACTGTGCCCTCAGCTTTTTTCGTTTTGACATGTTACGTTTTTATACACACATAAACCAAAAGGAACAACAGATTTCGCATAATGTAGTGGAGTAAAAAGTAAGATATCTGACTTTGAAATGTGAAAGTAAAAAGTCATCCAAAATGGAAATACTTCAATAAAGTACAGAAACGAATTACATTTACTTCGATACTGTCCAACACTGGAAACAGCTGACCAGGCTTTTTGAAGAAATCCTGTTGTATTAATTTGATTAATTCTGTTTATGAGGTACGGCTCAAAATCACCTTTTCTTATATTATACATTTAGTTCTAGAAGTAATTGGACAGTGGCAATTTTGTGACACAAATTGTGCCTCTGTACACAACCATGATGGATGTGAAATGAAGCAGTGTGACTGAAGTTTAGCTTTAATTCAATGGGTTTAACAAAAATAATGGATCAACTATTTGGGAATTACAGGCATTTTTACATAGCCCCTCCACTTTCACAGGTTCAAAATAATCAGACAGTTGACTGCTAAGCAGTCTCATAGTGAGTTGTGGCCTGATCCCTCCTTATTTCATGACAAATGAAGGAGATAAAAGGTCTTTACACCAGACGCAATGGGACACGTCTTCCAAAAAGTTCCATCTTTGACTCATCAGTCCACAGAATATTATCCCAAAAGTCTTGGTGGTCATCTAGAAGTGTTTTTTGACAAATGCGAGATGAGCATTTGTGTTCTTTTTGGTCAGCAGTGGTTTGCAGCTTGCAACTCTTTCATTGATGTCATTTTTGCCCAGTGTCTTTTTATCATCATGGAATCATGTGCATTAACCTTAACCGAGGCAAGTGAGGCCTGCAGGTCTTTAGATGTTTGGATCCTTTGTGACCTCCTGGATGAGTTACTGGTGCACTCTTGGTGAAATCCCAGCCACTCCTGGGAAGGTTTAATACTGCTCCAAGTTTTCCCAATTTGTGACAAATGGCTCTCACTGTGGTTCACTGGAGTGCCAGAGCCTTAACAATATGAATATGGACATTGACACAATTTTTGTCATTTTTTTCCGTTGTTACTTCATGACAAATTAAGGATATAAAAGGTCTGGATTCCAATAGCTGAATACATTTGTTAGCTGTTTATGGGAACACTCAATATGTGGTCCAAAGAGGTGTTGATGCAAGTGAAGAGGGCCATCATAAACAAACCCATTAGAGAGACAGCAGAAACTTTAGGAGGGCAATGTCAATTTGGTGCATTCAAAAAAGAGGAATTGAACTGGTGGTCTCAGCAACACCAAAAAGCCTGGAAGAGCACAGAGGAAAAATATGATCATAGAATTCTTTCTGTGGTGAAGAAAAACCCCTTCACAACATTTAGTCAAGTCAAGGACATTAAAGAGGAGGCTGGCAGGTCACCGACATAATCTACCATCAACAGACGCCTTCAGGAATGTAAATGCAGAGATGACCTCAAGATGTAAACCACTAGTAACACTCAAGAACAGAAAGACTTTCCTAGAAAACATCTGAAAATGTCTGGCCAGTTCTTGAAAAAAATACTTTGTACTAGAATAATGGGAAGAAGACAGCATGGAGAAGTAAAGGAGGGACATACCACATCATCATTAAAACATGGTGGAGGAAGTGTTAAAGC